ACTGCCGATACAAGCGAAGATGCGAGTTCCAGGAACTAGTTGATCAGAAGAAGAAACGATCGGTGGAACAAGGGTTTTATTCGCCTGACGTTTCGGATTCTCACTTGAATCCATCATCGGAGACAGTGGCAGAAAAGGGTGCCTCGTGCACAGGAAAATCGCAGTATTTATAGGATGCAGTCGTTATGCTACCGCATACCTATAGCAATTAACCGCGCTCCCCTCATCAAGGATTGTTGTCCGCTGGTGTGTAAATTGCTTGATTGCCGGCATGCAAGTTGTTAATTGCCGAAAGGTCATCACCCGTGTTGGATGCCGGCGTGATGATTGCTCGGCCATCTGGCTCACCGGCTTGCACGCTCCGCGAGTGGTCAAGTACGTTGGCCGGCCTATGCCTCAGCACGGAATATGGAGTGGGGATGTCGTTGCACTTGTTGATAGATTGAGGTTCCGTGAACCATGACTCAAGCAACTCGCGGCTCACGCTATTATCCCCTCTCGCGAGAATTTCGGCCTCATCGAACTTGAATGTGTGACCGGGTCTCGTCGAACGGGCCGCGACCTGAGAGTTGGCGTAATTTCTCCGTACCGCTGCCACGTGTTCGGCAATTCGCGTTCGGAGCAGTCTTCAAGTTTCTCCGACGTAGTTGCTTTGTCCGCAACTGCACCAGATCCGGTAAACGACTCCAGATGTTTCTTGCCGTGTCAGTGGGTCTTTTGGTCTCATCACCTGACGCCTCCTGGTGGCCTCCGGTCTGTGTGCAACTCCAACCCCAAGTGGTGCGAGAAGGCGGCTAACGGCCTCGGAGACGTTCTTGATGTACGGGATCGCTCGCCAGAATTTGGGGTCGGCACGGTTCTGTCTCCCGTCTCGTCTGCGCATACACCGATTGACGAAGTTACGCGGGTAACCATTTTTTCTGAAAACTCGCCGAAGATATTGGAATTCGGAAACTTTGTCTTCCGGTTCACTGAAGTGCGTCTCAACCCGCCGATATAGCGTTCTTACGCAACTGCGTTTGTGGCTGATTGGGTGGTTACTGTTGAAGAGCAGTATTTGCGTCGTGTTCGTCGCTTTCCTGAACACTTTGGTCTTTAGGCCATCAGCTTGCATTCCTCGTTGTCCTCGTCTGTCACAAAGATTGTGGTGGATGGATGATGGATTCAAATGAGAATCCGAAACGTCAGGCGAATAAAGCCCTTGTTCCAACGATCGTTTCTTCTTCTGATCAACTGACGGACTCTTACTTGCATTAAGTTTGAGGGTGTATTCGTGGAAAGACATCTGAGAAAGCACAAAATACAGATGGTGCACAAACGATTGACTACACTACGCAAGCAGTTTATACACCCTACGAATAGGTTTGACTATTCAGATAAGCTAAACGCCATATCAAGGTTTCATGCGAAAACTCCCATGTGGTGTCCAGTGGTGAAATTGGAAATCAGTTGGCAGTAAAGAGAGAAGACCTCTTGTCCCAAGCAGCAATGGCTACGTCAGAAATTGGACACATATTTGCTTGGGACAAAACTGTCACCGTTCCCACCACTTTCTAGAGGTCATACATGTCGGTACCTTGTGCATTAATTGGCATACTGAATTACATGCTGCGTGAAATGAACTCAAGGCAAAGGAAAAAGACGACAGCCAATCCGAACGCAATGGCAGCTGACAGCAGTGACTTACTGGTAGAAATAACAATGTAATATTGGTTTTTCAGACGTGCTTAACGTTTGAATTGTTTTGATCATTTACTGCACGTTTGAAAACGGAGGGGGGGGGGGGCTACCATGAAACAGTTGTGAAGAAAATTTTTTCACCCTTCCAAAGAACTTCCCCTCGGTATGTATATATTTAGGTACGTGTGAATCGGAGAACGAGCATCTCAAAGGATTTAATTAGGAAAATGAAATTATTTGGAAAACTGGAACTTCATTGTGCACATTTTCGAGGCTAGTCCCCCAGCTCGTCTTCAGATTGTGGGTGTACAGGAAAAAATTGTTTTCGTACGCCCATATATGTACACATTGCGTAAGCGGCTCACTAAGACTGCAACAGGCCAAACGGAGACAACTGTTTCACGGTCGTCACATGGGCGAGACAAATGCAAGTAGCCTGAGGTCATGAGTAAACGTTGGCGACCTACTTGCTTCCTATCAGTAGGCGTGCTTTTATTAGGTTACATATTTCAACCGTGTCGGCCGCGCCGGGTTTTAATGTATTCGACCTCGCTTTGGGATACCTTGTCTGCTGCTGTGTTGCCATTGCCATACCTCCCGCATATACTTACACATGTTTATATACCTCACCTCCTAAGGCCTACGACATATTAATGATCGGTAACGACCGTGAAACAGCTGTCTGAGTTTGCCTTATTGCACTCTTAGTGAGGCGCTTACGTATCATATGTGTCACATGACAGATTTTCGTTACCGCTAGTAGAAAGCTGGTGGGTGGACAGAATGAAGTCGAGGGAGATCCTAGTCAAATCAGCGAGGGTTACACGCTTACCTGACATGTATATACGCGATGATGAACTTCGGTTCGGAGAAGTTGACCGTCTGCACCCTGTGAGGGCGCGTGATTGTGTTTCTGGTCACAGATGATGGACATGGTTATGATTGCCAATAGGAGCAAAGAGACGAGTCCCAGGAAGCAGTCTTGAAGGAGGAGACACGATCTCTGGGACAAGAGCTTTATTAACCTGTAGCTTAGGATTCCTGCTCGAACTCATCATCGGAGACAAACGCAGATAGCAGGTTATGATTGACCGAACGGAGACGGAATAAACTTGAAACAGTTCTGTACCCATCTACTCGCATCATCTGTCGGCACCCTCCCTGATATACATGTGCATATTTGGTGTTCATCATCCTCCAAAGAAGAAAAGACGAATTCACGAACCGGACAACAATGGAACCACGGGTCTATGGCCTAATGCTTAAGATATTTGGACTTAATAACGCTTGATGGCCGAAGAACGCGGGTTCGAGGATCAGATGCTGTAAAACCCGGGCTTATGTATAGCCTTCTGACGACAGCTAATAAACCAGAAATGGTCATCCCAGCCTCCCTTGTCGTTACTGGAACTCCCTTTAATATATAGGTTGTGAGGGCGTCCAACGATCGGATCACAGGACTTGCGTGCTCCGTTGTGCTTTGGGCTCAATCTAGAACCCAGCAAACAGTCGCGTGGCGACTAGTAATATGTGCAGAACGAGATTACCGACAAAGGCAAGGGAGACTGGGATGGTCATTTCTGGCTTATAGGCATTCATCAGCCATTCATGCCCACCCCCAGGTTTACAGAAGCAGGGAACTGAACCCGGGGTCCTTAGTTGTTAAGTCGAACGCTCTACAAATTGGGCCTGCAATGACCATTCCAGTTTTTATGTTCTGTCAGTAGTTTCGTTCTGCACGCTACACGTCTGACGACGAGCTGGGGAACCAGATTCGAAAATTTACGAAACAAAGTTTGCCCAGTTTCCAAAGGACTCATTTTTCTTCAAACACGTGTATATATATGATGGTAGGGGGCGCTTATCGATCGTTCATACGGAACTCACTCGTTCCGTTGGGCCTTAACGGCTCTATCTCGAGCCCAACCAGCAGCCGCACAGCGGCACATGATATATAGGCAGAATGGTATTCCCTTGTCTTTGTCGGTAATATCAGTCTACAAGGATTTTTAATTAAACGTTTCGTTACTGTGTATAGAAGACAAGGTCCCCTGGTATCGTAGGACTGTGTCAGAATCCATGATTGATATTTATTCAGTACAGAGATCCAACAAAGGCTCCTATATTTGCTAGTTACCGACCTATCCGTCTGACTGCCGGAACATTCAGGCTGACGGATACGATTCTTACGGCGCATATGCATTTATGGCTGGATGAAAACAGTTCCAGGTGTTTGGGGAAACGCGCCTACGTTCCGCCGTTCAGGCTGCTGCAGTTCACCCAGGGTGTTTTCAGAGGAATTTGATGAAGCCTATGATATTTACGTGGACTTCTAAACCAACAGGTCGCGAGTTCGAGGCTCGGGTGTTCCACACTTCGGGCTTGGGTATGGCTGGCTGACGACGGCTAATAAGCCAGAATTGGCCATTCCAGTCTCCCTTGTCTTTGTCGGTAATACCATTCTGCCTATATATATGGATATAGGCGAAAATTCCGACCACAGGTGTTGAGATGGAAGAAGGTAAAGAGATCTCTGGGGAGGATGATTTATTCATCTGACGTTTCACACTCACACTTGAGCGCATCATCGGAGATAGATGAAAAGTGGGAATACATGGTTTAAATAGGTCTTTCTTAATCACTATTGATAGGTCCATTGTTCTCTTTTCCCATTGGCCCTCACTTCCTGCCCAAGTGGTGTCTGACGGCCTCATATGGCGCCGATAGGTCGATCCTACGGTTGATCGAGTTGGCGTTTGATTGTCAGGCTTCGATTATCTCTCTCGCCATTTTGCTTTCAGCTCGGCCGATTACTTCTGCCTTGTCGAAGCCGAATTGATGGTTATTTTTGAGGCTATGCATAGCAACATGTGATCCTAAATCTCTTCACTTTACAGCTAGAGAATGCTCATGCATGCTGATGCATGCTCTTGCATGTGAAACGTCAGGTGAATAAATCATCCTCCCCAGAGATCTCTTTACCTTCTTTCATCTCAACACTTGGGGTCGGCATTTTCGCCTATATCCATCATAATTCCGGGCGCTAAGCGCTTCGCCGAGCACGGCGCTGGGAAATATATTCCTGTAGACAGGGATCTACATATGAACAATTGGCTTTCCTACACAACTGTTTGAGGTCCGCCATTATGCCAAGGAGTGTTTCTGTAAGACCACCAGCTAGGACTGACTTCGGCCGAGCAGTCGCCAGGAGCTGCAGCCGACGCCTAGTAAGAACTCTCATCAACGAATGTCACATTCGCCTGGGAAAGTACAGTCTAATGAGGAACCAACAGGCAATATCTGAGACCGAATGGCGACAGATGAAACCACAAGATGCTGCCATAGCACGCTTCTATGGTCTGCCAAAGATCCACAAACCACACGTTCCCTTACGGCCAATTGTGGCGCTGAAAGGCATACCTACCTACAGTCTGGCTAAATGGCTTACCAAACATCTGAAGAAGCTGACGGAGGGCTCAGAACACACAGCTGTATCCCCAACACACTTCCTGGAAAGACTCCGAGGCGTCAAAATAGCCCCCAATGAAATAATGGTGTCCTTCGACGTCGTCTCTCTTTTCACCTCCATCCCTAAAGAATTAGCCACGAGGGTCATAAGTGACCTACTGGAGCGGAGGTACGAGGAAGAGGAAAGACCTCTGAAAAGGAAGTACATAATGGAGCTACTGGACTACTGTTTGAGCACGTACTTTACGTTTTATGGCCAGGTGTACGAGCAAATCCAGGGAACTCCGATGGGATCACCAATCTCCGGCTACCTAGCTGAGGCGGTTCTACAAGAACTGGAAACACAGGTCTTTCAGTCCTACATGCCAAAATTCTGGATGCGCTATGTGGATGACACCTTTGTCATCCTACCTCGAGACATAAAAGAGACGTTCAGAAGCAAATTGAACTCAATTTTCCCCCGAATTCGATTCACTATGGAGGAAGAAAAAGACGGAGAAATCCCATTTCTTGATGTCCAGGTGTCGAGACAGGAAGACGGAGCCCTCCAAACTGGTGTCTTTCGAAAGGCGACCGATACGGCGAAAATCCTCCATTACAGAAGTAACCACCCTTTGTCACATAAGCGCAGTTGCGTGCGGACACTCTTCCTACGCATCAACACACACTGCAGCACAGAGGCTGAAAAGCTGCGAGAGCGTAAATCCCTATGGCGTCTCCTTCTCTCCAATGGGTACCCACGTAGCTTCATAAACAAATGCCTCTATCAAAGGCACGCGAAGACCGACGGTGAACAAAAACAAAAACCTGAAATATTCCGTGCTTTGCCCTACGTGAGTGACGTTTCCGAAGCCACTGAACGCATGCTCAGACAACTCAACGAGGGTTTTGGACACCGGCCGGAGGTCACTATCCGCCGCTTGCTCCTGCAGCCCAAGGGGCGGCTACCGCCTGAGGACACGTCAGGAATTGTTTACCGCGTCAACTGTCTAGACTGTCCGGCCAATTATTGTGGCATGACCGACAAACGATTAAGGTCGCGCATGCATGAGCATTCTCTAGCTGTAAAGTGAAGAGATTTAGGATCACATGTTGCTATGCATAGCCTCGAAAATAACCATCAATTCGGCTTCGACAAGGCAGAAGTAATCGGCCGAGCTGAAAGCAAAATGGCGAGAGAGATAATCGAAGCCTGACAATCAAACGCCAACTCGATCAACCGTAGGATCGACCTATCGGCGCCATATGAGGC